AAAAGTAATCATACATTCTATGAAAGAAGTGCAGATATACAAGCATAACTGTCGTAAGTAATTTTCTAACAACATTGCAGTATAAAATTAATAAAAAAGGTTATTTTACCTATAATAAAACTTAAGTCTTTTATTTATATGCCTACGAATAGGTTCAATAAAGTATATTGATGCAAAGTGTTAAATTATGAAAACTCAACAAAACTCTTATTAAATATAATAAGATACCAAATATGAAAAGATATAAAAAATGCTAGGTTTGCTTTCTTAGACACTAAATACTTTTATGTGGAGGTACTTGGAAGATTCGCAGCTTCTTGTGTGTTTGCTTCCTTCACGACTATAAATTAAATCAAAATTATAAGGCGTCTAAAAGGCAAGTTTTAGTGAAAAATTATACATGTAGTTGCTTTTAATTTCATTAAGTAGTGCGTCTGTTCCTGGCTTGGGCTTGCCGTTGATAGATAACCGATCAAATAGCCTATTTATGAAGTCCCACATTGCAGCGCAAGGCTCAATAATTTTGTATTATATTTTTATCCAGCAAATCCCTTTTTAAAACGTTTAAAATTATATTATACGTCTCTCAGCAGCCGACCAATAATTTCACAATGACACGCGGTACATAACAATATGATGAAATATTAAACTTCTACTAATTTAGTATATTGTACGAAAATATTCGTATGTTGTACGAATTTAAAAAAACATGTGTCTGCATTAGTACTATGTACGAAAATATATTGCGCTTACTGGCATTGCGCTACTATGATAGCACGGCCGAGTAATCATAGTCAACCACACCTAATTTTCACAAGTTTTAAAATATTATTTTTGCTGTTATTTAGTTTTGGATAGTTTTTTTAGTTCATTCTTTAAGAATATGCGTATAAATACAAGTTTAAAGGCAGTTTCACACTGTTGGGTATTTGCCAGAATTTGGTGCAAATCGTATCCTAATTGTGTAAACACCCAAAATATTTTTCTTTATCCCAATCACGAAAATTATTTTATTGAGATTTTTCAATGGAACATCGCTGTACAGATCTTTTGACTAAAAAAAAAAATCCATTTTTTTTTTACCAATAGCCCAATATACAAATGTACAAATCTGTACAAATATACCAATCGAGTAAAAATGTATGCAATTAACAAAAAAAATCAACAAACTTTCGTTAAAATTTCGAGTTTTTAAATCAAACTCTGAGTATGCAGTTTTGTAGCCCATTGAATTCTAGTAGAATAAAGTACGAGTTTCATGGTTAAAAATTTGGATTGATTTTTTAGAATCTTTAAAAGTTCGAAAATTTTACGAAAGTTTGCTGATTTTTTGTTTAATATTGCACAAATGGGTAGTCCCCTTGCAAACAGCGTTTATTTTATAATAGTAGCCATAAATTTAAAAAAAAAACGACCACAACAACAAGTAACTTCCAAATTGTATGCATATTTCTCTTTATTATCTGAAAATTTGAATAAACAAGAGCCTAATAATATTAAAAAACAAAATCGAAGTGTGGTAGTTTTTGTAAATTTTATATATAAAAATTTAATATAGCAAGTTTTGAAACAAGTAACTTTTACATAGCTGTCTTTTTTTAGTTTTTCGCGTTCTCTCTTCCATGAAGATTGGCCTGCCTCTTTTTTACGACGCCTTCAACTAGGCACCGAAACTACCACGTTTTCTTGCAGTTGTAGGTGTTCAGATCATATTGTGGTCAAAAAATTATAGCCGAACCACTTTTTGCCAAGTTTTAACGTATTATTTTCGTTGTTATTTAATTTTGGTTATTTTTTTTTTATAAAAATATAGTTAATTCTCTAAGAAAACCCGTGTAAATCCAAGTTTCCAAATTTTTGCAATATTAAAAAAAATTTCAACAAACTTTCGTACAAATTTCAAGGTTTTTTATAGATTCCAAAAATCTGGAAAAAATCCCCCCAAATTACTAAACAGCGTAAGCTTAAAAAGTTTTCATAAAAATATTAAAAACAAATTTTCCACGGAACCATAATAATGAGATTTTTGATGCTGTTTTTTAACTTTTTTCAAAGATTTGTGTAAGAAAAACTAGAATAACTGCTTTACCGATATAGACTTATGAGGTATCAGTGGAGAGGTATTTTCGCACCCTCTTTATTTCTTTGCAAAAAAACTCATTCACATCCTAAATTTTTTTTTATCAAATACCAACACATCTTAATTCAACATGGAATTACACGCGTTTATCTTACCTTCCTCTTCATGCTTTGAATGAGCTTATTCGCAAAGAAATTAAAAGGGAGAGAAAATACCTTACCAACGATACCTCATAAGTCTAAATTGGTAAGGTTTTGGCAGAGTTATTCAAGTTTTTCTTAAACCAGTCTTTGAAAAAAGGTCAAACATAGCATCAAAAATCTCATTATTATGATTCCGTAGAAAAATTTTTCTAAATTTTTGTATGCAAACTTTATAAGCTTAAACTGTTTAGTAATCTGAGGTATATTCAAAAAAAGAAATCTAAAAAAAACTTATAATTAATAAAAAACTCAATTTTTGGAGGTATTTTCAAATCAGTTCAGCTCACGTAAATCTTAATATTTTTGCGAGGTATTTTGGTGGAAGTCTTAAAATGTAATAGATTTTATAATTCTAGTGGAAAACAGTACCAATGTTTTTTTTGAATGGGGAGTGATGCAGTATACTGTACATAAGTTGACTATGATTACTGGGCCGTGCTATCATAGTAGCACAATGCCACTAAGTGCTAAAATTTTCAGGCAATAGCCTCATGCGATTATCGATTATATTTTTTGTTGTTTGTGTGAAATATTTTGTTTTATCAGTATTTTTTTTTATCAAAATATGTTGAATTAAAAGTGAAAATGAAAAAAATATTTTGCCAGAAGCTACGGGCCACAGCTTCCAATTTGTTATCTTCATTATCTAAACGCTTTGTCGATGGTGACATGAATTTTTTAAACGCGGAGCGACATCATAAATTTGCATGAGTTTGACCTAAAAGAAGAGGAAGAACCTTATTTGTCGTTGGAAAAATAGAAATAGATCTATTCCGGCCACAACCACAGTCGTCGCGTAGCCCTGTCGGCGCCAAAATAATTATTAACATAAGAATACGTGGAAAAATAATTTGACAGCTGTGGTAAATAGCTCGTCGTTTTCATTGTGTTCCGGCTATTAGAAAGTTAACGTACGACAAATTATTTTCTGAATCCTTAGCTCAGATCGCTAAATTATGATGACAAAAGAAGAACATGAAGAATGATTGGATGGGCTTTTGGGTTAAACCATATGTATCCTGAAGGGAAATTTTTTGCCGACTAAAGGGATGAAGCACCCTTCGGGACAAGGGGGCCTCATTGATTTCTAAAAAGTGTACATATGAATGTACTTTGAATTGCCTTCGTTGTAGTTGTGATTACTTAATTTGAAGAACACACAAATTATCGTGTTGACGTACTTTTAAACGAAAAATTGATATTAACTAAAAATTCGCCATTTTGGATATTAGGCATTAAAAATACTCGTTTTGCCTTCCAGCAGAGTTTTAAGCAACATTTTGTGGTGCGAGTAATTTACTGAATACATATGCAAGTAGATATAAAATCTATCACTCTCATATGTATTACTTGTTTTTCTGTTTTCTGACAAATGGAAAATTTTTAGTTAATACATTTTGAAAGAACGTGTGCGAAATGTAGTACATATCTTAATGCTTTACCGTAAATGTCTGGAGTTTCCTATAGCATTATGGTACATTTGACATATGTAAGTCCACTTTCGCATGTGTAATAATTAGTTTTTTATGTTTGTTATTTAACAAAGAATACTTCATTGCATTGCCGGCGACTGTGGCTGAGTGGTTAGAGGTGCATACTACCACTCCACAGAATCAGATCTCTGGTCCGAGCAACATCTAAATTATCAAACGTTTTTTCTAGTAGCGACAGGAATTGGCAAACCCTAGGGTAAAACTGTAGGTCCCTCTATTTGTGTAACAACATGAAAACGTACACCACATATTGGATGAGAAGCTCGGCCAAACACTTATCAAATGTGTAAGCGCCAAAATAATATGTTATATGTAGGCAATATATGAAGCTGTTTTTCATGACAGAAATACACGCGGTTTGATAACTTCCATATTGGTGAGAATAACTGCTGTTTAATGCGAAGCTTGACTTTTGTTATTTATTATTTTGTTTTCATCTGCATGTAGACTTAAAAAAAACTTTCAGGTTTTCAATTGAAATTAATGGAGTTTGGCAATATTTTTCAAAAATAGCCACTGTATAAGTAGTTTTTATAACTAATAGACATTTTTTTTTTAACAAATATTCGGAAAAAAACTGCATTAAAACTTTTTCAATAAAGTAATTAAATAATATTTTACACAAATAGAGGAAATGATATGCCAATCAATAAAAAACGTATGTCTTTATAAATCATCTACTTGTTTCGCCTTAGTTAATTTTTGCCAAAAAATTTGCCAAATTCCCCACAGTGCATAGTAATAAAATGTTCCCGGAGAGAGCCACGAGCTAATATGTAACAGTAGCTTAGCATAAAATGGTGCTGTATTTAACAGCAACCATTCTCTAGAAATACACTGCTCTCTCGTTCTCAGTGTTTTATACAAAATGTGTACATGTTCAAACCGTAGTCCCCTGCAATAAAGACACAACTCAAAACTAACAAAAAAAAAACCCTCAATACTGTTAAGTGACCCATGTCTCTAATCCTTGTGTAATACACGTATAATCCTTACCAAAGCAAGTAGCAAGGATTATTTAAGTAAGCAGTAAGGATTAAACATGGATGAGACAAGGACTAGGGCCATGAGGCCCTTAACAGTAGTAAGGGTTTTGTTTTTTTGAGTTTCGAGCTGTGCTGTTATTGCAGAAGACCATCGAAATGTATGGTGTATAACGTAACTGATTGTGAGTGCTTAAGCTGTCTGACTTGCAACCAGGGGTAGTTGACTGGCAGTCTACGTCGCAGATTAAAGTCAGTCTGTGAGAATTCGTTGAGAGGTGTCGGACGTGGTAGTCGCGGTGCAACCTAAAAATTAGTGTAGAATATTTTCGATAAGTGATTTTGAAAGATACTTTGCCTTTAACTGATGAAAAGTGTGAAACAAAAGCGCAGACGGTTGTATGTAAATACATAAATAAGACAAAAGTTCATTGTTCGCAATCGGTACTGTAAAGAAGTTAATACACGATTAAAAGAAAAACTACAAACCATATTCTTATCAACCCAAATACGCGCGCGAAATATTAGCAGCCTCACTCGTCTGCATCCTTCCATGCATGTCTATGTGTACTAAAATACATAAACAGTGCTGTATTTACAAATACGTATTCGGAAGTGTTTGCTGATGAAAAATTTCAAAAACAATTCGGGGCGCTATACTCGTAGACTTTCACTAAAGTAGTAATAAAATATAGATTGAATTATGCCTTAAAAAGTGTGTTATTTAAAGTCAATGAAGTAAAACAAATAACATACGCATAGGAGCAAGAGGTGTTTGTTTGCTACATATGTACATATGTATGTGCTAAATATGCAATCAGCTCAACGATNTACCACTTTTGATCTCTTTATATGGAATGAACTGATCGCTTTTGTTCGAGCATGTCCTATGAAGAGACTAATTGTTCACCTTTATACCCGAATGGGTATTAAAAGCGACTAGTCACTTTTAAAAAATAAAAATAAAAATTTGCGCCAGCTGAGATTCGAACCGGGGTGCTCAGTTTTGTTAGGCGAATACTCTCTCTGTGTGCCAACGCCGCACATGACATTTCATTGACTAAGTGCGTACATATCATTAAATCGTTAATAGTACCCGTTAGAGATGAGTTGGGGACTAATTGATCTCCAATTATACCCATAAGGGATGAGTCGAGACTAATTGACCTCCACTAGTACCCGTATGAGACTAGTTGGGACAAATTAATGCCCAATTGCACCCGATTGAGAGTAATCTCGGAATACTCTCTTTAGAGATTAGTCGCACAGTTTTTTGCAGGGTAACAATAGGGGAATTCGCTCTTTTGTGTATGCGTTGTATTTTGTGTAACTGTAACTGCATGAGCGTGTGATTTGTTGTTGCTAGCGGTACATCAAATACACATGCAACAACAACCATACGCTCAACCACCCTGCAGTAAAATTTAGGGACAGTCTGACAAAGCGCTAGTTCCGAACTACATATCTCAGAACTATCTCTGAACTAGTGCAAGAGGAATGCAGAGCGGGACAGTTGAAACTTGCGGTGTATATGTGCAAATGCTCACTACTCGTACAATACGAAAGTAGCTCAGCGAGAAGACCTCCGACTCAACCATCCTTGGTCGCGAGTTCAAATCGCGGTGGAGGCAGTTGTGAGTTTTCAAATTTAATGAATTTAAATTGTTGCGTGCAGCTTACAATATTTTTTTTTTAATAAAATATGTAACAAAAACGGAATCTGTAAAAGAAAAGAAAAAACGAAAACAAATGTCCAAATATCGATTCGCAAAAACGTTTTCTTATAAAAAAAACTGTCCAAAATGGAACCGGTTAAAAACTGGTTGCAAAGTAATGCAATGGGCGACAATTGCCACCGCCAATGATATCGCCATGTAAAACTGGACAGTTGAAAGCATTGCTTGGGTATTGAGCTAGAACTGGTACTGTGGGCAAAAGGTCTAGTTCTACGCTCGCTTCTAGGCTAGTCAGATTTTCTGCAGGACAGTTACACTTACGCAGGATACAGCGAATACACAGAAGCGCGAATTCCACTAATACTTAATAATAACCTAAACCAATACCCAAAAGTAGCAGCATATGTACATACGTTACTATTTACCGGTCTATAGCGATAAGACGCGTTAAATTTCTAGGCACTTCACGAATAAATAGTTATAGGTACATATATTCATGTACATATGTATGTATGTATGTATCTATGCCCACACAAATGTTAATTTACATATGATTGTACATACATACATACATACATAAGAATTGTAACTTAATTCCAAACTAGTGGTATGAATTATGTGAAGAGATTTAACGTTGTTCAGTACTTTTAGTTTGCAACATGTTTTTCGGGACATAGTGAATAACCTTCAGTACTTTTAGTTTGAACATGTTTTTCTGGACATAGTGAATAACCTATGAATGGCTGTATACATATATGTAAAGATGCATGTACGTATGTAAGCATAGGCGTACGCAGAGCATAATTTATGGGGAGTGAGATCTTTTTAATGTAAATTTTATTAGAATTGTTAAATTATAGCTATTAAAAATTTATAATAATTTACCTCATTATTTGTTGGTTTAGATCCGATCATTGGGTCATGAAGAAAATAACGGTACCTCTAAATTTGTATATGAGGATTGAAGCTGGTTGTGTTTTTTGCTTAAAAATTACTTGTTATTGTAACAATTGAGTTGCACCGAGGCCTACAAAGGTATTTTTATTGCACAAAGTTTTTTATGAACTTATTGAATAGTTAAAATACAAATTTGTTTGTTACCTTAATTGCATGCAAATTTTAAATGCGACTTAGTCTTTGCACCGAAATCATAATTTTTTCATTATTTTTAACGGAATAAAAAAAGGAGGAGGTTATCTATTCGTCGGAATACTTTTTTTTTATGTACATATGTTACGGCATAACCGATTTCGATAATTCTTTTTTAAAGGAAAGGTGGTTGATCCCACCCTAATTTGGTTTAGATCCGATTATTACTTGTTTTAAACAATAGTCTTCGAGTGTCTTCTGCAAACCGATAAATTGTTTTAGTGATGATTCCTTTTTTGTTTTTTCTACAAAGCCTCTGCGAAAGCTAAGCATACCTAGACCTAAATTCAAGTACAAACTAAGAGAAATTATTAAAAGATAACAATTATTTTACCTTTTTTTAAGTAAATGACTGTTTATCAGACTAACAAAGGTAAGCTGAAAAGGACGTTCACATTTGATAAAATTATCGAGGAACAACCAGCAGTTTACCAAAACTACCGAAATGGATGTGAAGAGACCCAAACTTTTAATTTATTGCATACATTTTTTTAATTGGAAATTGATTATGAATTCATAAAATGAATCTTACAATGAAACTTTGGAATGTAGGGGTGGGGGCGCCGTCTGCCCCGCTCGTACCTGCGAACGCCCATGTATGTAAGTACGTACATATGAAAGTATGTAATTTCATATCTATACAAATACATACGCGAGAGAATATATATAAATATAGAATGGGAGAGTCATAGAACACTTAAAGCAAAAAGAGGCCTTGCAAGTACATACATACATACATATGTACATTACCATACATACATTCATGGATTCATATGTGTAAATTTATTAGCGTGCCTTTTTTTGCGGATAGCTAGAAAATCCGATTTCTTCTGTTTATTCCGTACATTTGTACTTAGGTTCAAATACTTAAAGCACAAAGAGAGAACACATCTAATCAATTGTACGTAGATGCAACATAATATACTGCATGAAGAAGAGAGTGAGTTATAGAATTCGGTCGCCTAAAAGATAGTCATAAACATTTATATTCCCATTACAACAACTATTAACTAAGTATGTATACACCCGGTAGAAAAAATTGCATAAAAGTTAAATATTAGAATTTGAACGAAATTTTCACGCCATATGTAAAGATATGGGATACATGACATCTCTTAAATATCACAATCGTGGGTAGGAAGAATTAGGGTAAATTTCAGATGAAAATTTCAGGTGGAACCTAAGTTTAATTCTCAGAAATCGTTTTAATCTTGAAAATGTAACATTCCTTACAGAAATATAAATAAAGAATACTTAGAAACTATGTAGTTAACCAATTCATTTAGTAAGATTTTGAAATAGTATTACATACATTATAAAAAGGGAAAATAGCGAACAAGTGCGAAAATTTCTTTGTAAGTCTATATGAATATGAAAACAAATAATTTTTAAGTGCTGGCTTTTGTGCCTTCGTGTTATTTACACAAACAAAACGCAGTTTCACATGCATTAAAGTTCCTACATTAACTAACAGAAATCCTGATGTAAAACTAATATGCGTTACGACAAAATGTCAAAGCACAATAGTAAACAAATGCCTGCTGCACCTATCGGCTTTTATCCATAGAATGAACGGCCTTATTGTATGAATATTTTCTTAAAGCCTTTTTTAAACAGCTTAAAAAAATGAGGAGTTATCAATTCGTCGGAATATTTCTCTTTTTTATGTAACCGCGTCACTTAGGACTATGTCAACCGATTTCGTTTGTTGTATTTAAAGATAACATAAATATACTCCGTATAGAGTATTGTCCGCAATATATGCAAATATTTTCATGCTAATGAGTTCATTGTTTTCTGAATATTAGAGATATATGTTCAATAAATGAATTGAAGAACTATAATTTTAACCGACTTCACAAAAAGGACCTCCTCCTCCTATGAATTCGTCGGAATATTTTTTTTATATATGTTACCGCATAACTTTGGACCACGTTAACCTATCGATATATAAGATTTTTTTTTTTGTAAAATAAAAGTTAGACATTTTTTTGCATTGTCAATAGCTATGAAAAAATACCACTGCTGACTGAAAATAAGATATCACATAATTGAAGTGGCCCGTTTCAGAAATTCTGACTCATATGTATGTACACACGTACATATGGATGAATGTATGTATGTTAATAGCACATCTTTAGAGGTCTTAATACATACTAACTAAATAGTTAGCATGCATATAAGATTAAAAACCGAGAGTACCAAAAACATTCTATTAATTGGCACACTACAAGTGAAATTATTAATAACCGGTTCGTAGTAAGCTGAAAACAAACTTACTTTATTGCGACATCATCATGTAAAAGTTGTCAAGTGAAAGCAACATAAAGTAATCGAGGCGTAGTCACCCCTAATTGATAAATAGTGAACTTATAGTTCATTTATAGTAGTTAGTCGAGTTCCCTAAAGGGTAAACATGTCCATGTATAAACGTACAAATTCATCGAACGTTTTATTTAAAATAACTGATGGCAAGTGCAGACTACATTAAAAATAACAAATGTAAATTTATGTTGAAGAGTATAAGTATGCATTGAGCGTGAGAACTTACATATGAAGGTACATAAAAAATTGAACTAAGCAGTACTAAATGAGATGCAAATTTAAGCGATCGGTGGCTCGCGACTTTATTTTAGAACTCACAATCCTCAGCGAATAGAGTACTGGCGTTTTGAAATTCAAATATGGTCAAAACTTCGGCTTTCCCAGCTAGATGATAAAATGAAAATGTATAAGAGTCTTTAACAGCGAGCATAAATGTTTATTTTATAAAAATTTAAGGTGTAGAACGAATCAAGCGAAAAGGTACCCACATGTTTACACATACATACATATCGCTACATACGGTATGTTTTTCCTCCTCGAAAATCCAGTATTCACAAATAAAGCGAAAAATTAAAATATGTGCTCCACTTTTGAGATTTTGATAAGTCAGATCAAGGCCACAATCTATTTACATTTGTATGTATTTATATACATATGTACATAAGTAAGTACATACATATGTATGCACATGTGCAAAACCCAAACTTCTTTCTACTTACCGTCCAAGGAAATGTTTGTGATTACCAAATCGAATTGTTTGGCATGCATGCATTCACTCAGTGAATGCATTCCCATTAATTGCAGTACGAGAAAAACAGTAATATTTAGTGATAGAAGCACGACGAATGCGAGTAGCTTTAGCTCTCATCTATACTAGCCCCAATAAAATTGTTGTCATGTACATACATGTAGCCATACATTCATAAGTGCACTTAGAATACGTGATAGCGCACAACCTCCAACGCCAAATTATCAAAAATACACCCCCTCAGTACTCGGCTGTCATACTGGTTCTACAAGTATGAGTGCAACAAATAAAATCAAAAAATAAACAAAGGCAAATGGAGGAAAGAGCAGAATATACCATGCCAAAGTACGAAACATGCATAAGTATGAGTGTAATCAAAACAAAGAAGACAAATGCAATATATGTATGTACGAAATACGAGACAACGAAATGCGCTAAATGAATGCCTAAGTTATCAAATCGATTAACTCCACTTTTTGAAAAATCTTAAATTTAAGTGTCAAAGCACATGGAATCATATATAATATCCATACATATGTATAATAAAATTGTAACAGGCCGATGTGTGTCCATTTTACTTAGATATTAAAGAAAAAATTTATATGGGATCTTTATTAGAGCAACAGAAGTCAAATAAACAACTTTTAGAATGTTTGTCTGTCTGTCTGTATGTTTATACGCGCATCACTCGAAAACTAATTCATGGAATCGAATGCAATTTTCGCCGATGTATTGCTAGAGGTCTAACTTAAAATATAGAAGAAAAAATTTGAAAGTTGTTACCTGTTTGAAAATTGCAGTTTAAGTAAATTGATAAGATAAAGTAAATATTGCAATAGGGCTGTCAATGAGAATTAGTATAACATTAAAGAAACTGCGGGATTTGTAGACTCGAGTTATAAGATTATAAATTAAATTTCCAGGAGAAAGCCAATACTTTATTGACTTTCTAAATATGGAATTAATTTTGTATGCACATATCGGTAAGTTCCAGACCTCTGCAATAAACACCTCCAGAGATATGCAGAGTGTAACCTAGCTGACGGCGAAGAAAGACGCGTAAACATCGATTTATACCTGGCCAAGGACTGACGCTTCAGCATCATTCCCCAAAACTCCTTGGGAAATTTACATACTGTTACACCCGCGTCCTTCTTCGCCGTCAAATATTTTAACGCGTCTTTCTTCGCCGTCAACTTTGTTAAGAGTCTTTCTTCGCTGAAGTGTTTTATATGCATCTTTTTTCGTGGTCAATGAAAGACCATGCGTAGCAAGTGTGCCAAATGTTGTTCTGATCAGGAAACCGGTTAAGGAAGTAGCCTATTTTTCAATCCAGGTCATAAACCAACAAAAAATTGCAAAATTTATCCTATTTGGCAATATAGGTCGTAAACTATCTGCGTGCAAACTTTCATGCAAATCAGTTCAGTCATTTCCGCGTATTAATTTAATTCAACTTTTTAACAGGTGGCAACTCTTAAAAAAAGTAAGCTATTTTCCAATGTAGGTAATAAGCTATCTGTATGCAAAATTTCATGCAAATCAGTTCAGTAATTTCCGCGTATTAAATTAATTTACCTTTTTTTAACAGGTGGCAACTCTTAAAAAACGCAACCTATTGTCCAATCTCGGCCATGAGCTATCTGTGTACAAAATTCCATGCAAATCCGTTCAGTGGTTTCCGCATGATGGTTTCGCAAATACCCAAAACACACAAACATACAAACTTTCACATTTATAATATTAGTATGATTCCTTATTTGAGTTTATATTATAAAAGGAATTTTAAAAATATTGAGCATTGTTTGATTTGAAAATGATTAAATAGTTCTCGTTTTCTGCCGTATTTATGTACATATGTACATATGTATGTACATTAGGCTGGCCCAGCATTTTTTCCTCCAGCCACCCTACAGAACTGAAGAATATAAAAAATAAGGAGATACGTATCTTTTTATTTTGAAATTGGTTAATATTTACCCGTACCGCCGAGGCTTTGAAGTTTCCCATGTATTTTACATGGGGAAAATACATTTTCTCGTTGAATTGCTATAAAATCGTTAAAAATAATTACTTTTTGATCGAATAAGACTATTTCCCTTCAGAAGTCTTCAAAAAATAACACCAAGATGCTTATTTAACTTAAAAATTTTACTAAGTGTTTTTTAATAACCGATAATCTTATCTGTTATATACAAAAATTAGTTATTTAATGTTTTCATAACCACATCACGCACGAACAGCTCAATAGATGTGTTTAATTCTTTTTTGCATTCTACTCGATGATATTTTTTTTTTGTGCTATGACAGACTGCTTTCCTCAGGAAGGCAGTTTCGTTGCTGGCAAAGGATCCTTTATGTAGGTCCTAAAATAGCAGGTTATTCAACAGTCTAATCAATTTATTACTGAAAATGTGAATCGACACAATTCACGGCAAATTACTCCAGCTGTGGTTATGTTACTCTCTTGTTGACTTTGGTAGTCGTGATACTGGTGACGCCATCTGTTCAGATTTTTGTTTTTTGGTGTGTTTTCCACAGTAGCCAAACAAAACGACAGGAAATTGAAGCTTCCGATAGTTGCAATTTTATGTAGAGTAGTGCACGTTGCGTGGCTGGCGGTTTGGCGTGTAATTAAGCGATGTGGCAACTTTTTCAATTGTCATCTGACGTGCGATGTTGGAGCGTGATCCCTGGAGCGGTCGAGGTTTGGTGTAGGATTTAAGCCAAAGCGGCTTTTGCAAGGAATTGATACTTACAATTTAACTAGTCCTTCAAAAGGGCATAATCACATCCAAAGGGACAGCTTCAAAAATTAGATCAATTTATCTAAATTGTTAGCATGAATAAATTCAATTAATATCGAATAGTCTTTAGTATTTTTTGATTTTAAAAACTCCATAAGGGAGTTATATTTATCGAATATATAAAAACTTCTTCTCTTTACAGCGAATCTGCGGCATTCAAACAAAAGGTGGTTTGCGGTTTCAACAGAGCTACAAAAATGACACAGGCTGGTTGTACCATGTCTGAATTTACTTAAATATTATCTACAATAAGTGTGCCCAGTCAGAAGACGATTTAGAATTTTGATGTCAGAAGGAGGCAGGTTGTGTTGGTTTTTCGTGAACCACGAAGTCCGCAGTCCGCGTCACTGACGGTTGTATTTGTGCAAAGGTTTTCCCTTTAACTAGACATGTGTTCTGATATTCAACATTCCAATCATTCCAGATCTTATCTCTAATGCGTGTGATAGCTTCCTGAAAGGTATACATGCTTTCCATGACTAAACCCCTATCTACTGCAGTCTTGGCTGCAAGATCTGCCTTCTCGTTGAAGCCAATACCTACGTGGCTCGGTACCCAGCATATAGTGATATCGTGAATAGAAGAGTTACAAACCTCATTATGTACTTCTGCCACCACGAAGTTGTTTGTGGAGTCCTGCTCCAGTAACTTGACCGCAGCAGCACTGTCTGTAAAACTACCTATCCTGGATAGTTTCAATCTCTTTGCAATTCTTACGGCACCCTGAAATTGTGCATATGGAAACTGTGCATACGAAATAATGCATATGANAAAACCGAAATAAAGCATACATGCACAGTTTCGGTTGAAACCGAAATAATGTCTAAATGCACAGTTTCCATATGCGCAATTTCGGTGCCCCAATTCTTACAGCCTGCCTAATGGCACAGAGTTCACCAAAAGTGGAGGAGAATTTTTCATTTAGTTTGTACATATAAGATGTATCGCTACATATGTCATGGATAGCACATCCTACACAATCATCAGCTATGGACGCATCAGTGGCGAATAGGTAGAGTCCTTCTTTTTCCATTGTTTCTTTCTTCTCCTGGTACAACGACATCAGCTGCCTTTCAGAGAATTTTTTCTTTGCGTGCCCCAGTTTTGGTGGAACTAATTTTAAATTTGCATGCTTTATAAACTGGGTGTTCGTGTTTATGTTTTCGATAATTTCTTTGAATTTGTTATACGTAAAACTGTAACTAGTGTTAATCTGTGGAGAGTTATTAAGTTGGGTTTTTGAGCGTTACATTTGAGCCCCATTGTTTTATGAGCTCCTTTGCGGTTTGCCAGGTTGCTCTGTGCCTAGGGGGTAGGTCGCCGGCTAGTGCATATCTAGAGTGGATAGGAGTACTGGGAGGTACACCAATACACCTTCTAATGGCATTGTTAGATATTGACTATAACGCGTTGCTGTAACTTTTCGGTGCATTTGCCAGAGTGGTAAAGGCGTATTATATTTTGGATCTTAATGTCGATCTGTATAAGTTTAGTGCTACTTTAGGATTTAGACCCGACTTAATAGTTGTAATATTGGTTAATAGGTTGATTCCTGAGTATCCTGCCTAAAATTTTAGTTTCAAAGGCCTGCTCTATGTTGGTCGAAATAATGTTGAGTGCAAATAGCTTTCTTGGCCCTTTAGTAAAGTGTATGAATTGGATTTTAGATAGGTTAAAACTGAGGTTTAAGGATTCGCATTGCGATTGTAATTCAATAAGTTTGGTTTTAAGATTATTGAGAGCTGATGGCACGGAGCCATAGTGGCTGATTAAAATAATGTCATCGGCATGTTGGAGGATCTGTGTCATGTGGTCGCTTAAGTCGTGCAGTCCGCTAGTGTAAATGTTAAACAAACTCGGCGATAAACAGCTACCTTGTGGGAGACCATTTTCGCCGTGATCGAGTGACTTCCTAACGTTAGAGTACGTTTTGATAGAAAGTTTTGGATCCAGTTACAAATCGTTAGATTGAGGTTGTGGCTATGTAAAATATTAATCAGCTTCGATGTTTTGACGCAGTTGTAGGCATTGTCAATGTCTAGTAAGCAAGCAAAGACCTTTCTATTTTCTTTTCGTAGCGATTCTATTTGATGCAGCGCTTGATTTAGACACATAGGCGCCGATTTATTTTTCCTGTATGCAAAGCTGTTGGATGGGATGATCCCTTTCTTTTCAACTTATTCTGTCAGCCTAGCTGGGACTAGCATGTTCGCACATTTGACTATTACAGACAGCAGAGATATCGGTCTAAAATTGGTGATAATGTCTGTGTCTCTGTTGGCTTTCGGAATGGGTACAACCTTGACTCTTCGCCAGGATTCCACCATCTTATTCTCATTTACATGGTTTTCTAATTCTTTGACTAGGATGACTGTGGTTTCGTCGGGAAGAGCTTTTATCATATCAAACGTGATTTTATTCGGTCCGCCTGCTGAACCTTTCTTCTTTTTTAACAAGTGAGTTAGTTCCTCCACCGAGTAGTTAAGCCTATCATTTTGCCCACATGGTAGATAACTTTGAGTTGTGTCATCATTATTCTCCATTACCTGGCCTCTGATAAGCGTTAAGAAAGCCTCATCATTTTCCCTACTCTAGTGGCTGGTGTGTTTGCTTCTTCCTTTAAGGTTGTTGACGAACCTCCAAGAGTCTCTCGTATTTGGGTTTTTGTTCAGTTCAGCAATAGCTTCTTCGAAGTTAGCTTTCTTTGCCCATTTCACTTCTTTTTGCCAGTGAAGTTTTGCGGCTATCGCAGCTTCAAAATCTTCGACATTGTTCGTGAGTCTGACTTTTTTGCGGGTTGCCACAAGCCTTCTATAACTTACGTTTAGCCCATCATGCCACCATGCCTTTGTGTAAAACCAACTTCATTTAGGTCAATCGTCGACTTTTTTACAGCATGCTGAATCGCAGAGTTGAAGGATTTTAGACCGTTCTCGCACTTCGCCTTATTTACCAGTTGACCAGTTTTCGAAGAGGTTGCAGTTGGTAAGACTGAGGTCTAGTACCGAACCATTTAATCCCACGCCGTTGGTGTTAGTATAGAGAAAGGTTTTAGCCCCGCTGTTGAGGCACCTGAAATTAAATCTGTCGATGGCAGCCGAAAGGCTTTTTCCCCTCGTCGAGTCAAAGCTGTCTCCCCACCTAGAAAATCTTGCGTTGAAGTCTCCCAACTGAATGACGTTAGGTTGTTTATTTAAAAAGGCTAGCAATTTCTGAATTTCGTTGTTAAAGTTTTGAATGGTTAGGGTTTGACTAAAGTATGCCAAGCAAATAGTGATGTTGTTGTCCAGATACGTCGTCTTGCCAATGACAATGTCACATTGTGCTTGATATTTAATTTTTTGTAGTTTGATATTTCTTTTGCTGCCAATAGCCACGCCTCCGTAACCATCAGCTCTCATTTTTGTTATAAGGTTGTAGTTAATGAGTTTATTACCACTAGGATCTTGAGAGAAAATCTCCTGCAAGGCCAGCAGCTCAATGTTGTGTTTCTTGCAAAAAAATTCAACGAGTGCCTTGTTGGCCTTCAAACTCTGCACGTTGAGTTGTAGGACTCTCATACAGATTTGTGATGATTGGTTTCTACGTTCCGTTGCGTCTGCTGTCGTTACCTCCATAGCATTGCTATCATTGTGTTATTAACTTGAATGTTAAACCTTTTGCACAGAAGAAAGACAAGTATTTCAATCTCTGCGACACGGCTCCAATTCTTGGACTCGTAGCAGGGAGTGATGGGTTGTTTATCTTTTGCTTGTCTGTCGGTCGGGTTTGGCTTTTGACTTCCACCGGCTATGGGAATTTGAGCCACTTTACTATACCTAACTCTAGTTGTGATTCAGTTGACCACTTCATTACTGTTCACCACTTTCGTTCTGTTGCTACCGAGAGCAGGGAAGCTCTCATAATCTGCGAGAAGTGAGAATCTGTTTGAGCTTTGTTTAAGATTATGGTAGGAGTCAAAGGCTTCTTTCCTGGAAATTTTTTTAATGGTCATAATTTTTAAAATCTCTTCTTCTTTTTCCCATTTAGGGCACGATTTCCTACTAAGAGCACTGTGGTTTTGGATGCCACAAACAATGCACTTTTCGTCATTGCATTTATCAACACACCCGTCCTCTTTCCCACATGTGATACATCTCTTTTTAGCTTTAGAAGCTAGTCTAGTGTGCCCCAGCCTACCACAGTTGTAGCACTGTCTTATTCTGGGAAAGTAGTGTAGAATTTTGAATTTAGATATAAATATGTCAATAGACTCCGGAAGGTTGTTGCCTTTGAATCCTATCATTGGCAGAAGTTTTTCCCTATCGTTTGGGTCCCGTCTTTTAAGTCTCATGACCGAGGTCACTGGAATGTCCGAATGTATGTTTTCTTTGATTTCTTCGTCAGGAAATTCTACAGGGATTTGCCGTACCACACCGAAAGTCTCGATAAAGCTGCGCGGGATGAAAGGTCGTATTTTGGCATTTCCTAAATCGCCGTTTTTGAGACATTCATTAGCAGATGAGACATTGTCAAAAGTTACCTTGTACAAGGATTTGCCTATAGCTTGAGCGTTACGCATGCCTTGAATATTTAGTTTTCTGATTTTTTCAAAGAGAAAAAGTCCATTTTTGGTTTTGTTATTTTCAAACAAGGAGCTTGCCGAGGTGTCGAAAAGCACGTTCGCCTCCCCATCATGGTCATTATCATAAAATATCTCGTTTTTGCTGCAGCTGCATTTAAGCTGGCGTTATTTGAGTTCACATTGTTTTGCTGTGAGTTCTCGTTAACAAAGGGATTTTAATGTACGTTCACTGGGGGTTTATTTAATGCGTCACTTTCATTTTTCCCTACGGCTGAAGTAGCGTTTTCGTTGAAAATGTGCACAATTTGGGGTTATTTTCGTTTACCCTAGTGTATGTACTCCTTTTTAGTAACATTCCTTGTAGCGGAATTTTATTAACGGTTGTCTCCGTATCGTCCCTACATTCACTTTCGCTGTTAGAAAGAGATTCACCAAGACTTCTTTCTTGTATGACTATTTTTTTCTCGCTCATTCCTTTGTCTTTTTTGACAATTCGTTTTTCCCCCTCTTTTCTACAGCTGTAAACCAGCCTGTGTCATCCTCTAAAGCATCGTTATCTGGCGGCTCTTCAGCCGCCAAAGCGTCCGCCATTTTGGCGTCTAATTACCCGCACAATAAAAAAACACACCACTTGAGTAAATTAAGCAGACTCACCTGAAAACTTATTGTTTGGATTAAGGGCTTAAAGGGAGTTGTCCTCCAACAGTTCCCTCCATATGTACAGCACTGTGGACTTAAAATGAATGCTAAAAACCTGGGGACCACACCAGACACTCCCAGGTGCCTTCTGCGTTGTTCTCCACGTTGATTTGGTCCTTCTTGACCTCACCGCTTCCTCTGCACCAGACTTTCCTTTGATTTTATAATCTTCTTTGAAATTTTTTAAATTTTTTCCTCCTTGCGATCCTCAGTAAAGATGAAACTGCTCGTTATTAAGTTAAAGTTGAAATCTCAGAATTGAGCGCGTCCGTCTTCAACCAATGTCAGATAGCGAGTACTACTCGATGTTATCTGTAAGTTTGTGGTAAAAAATTTTTGAAGAATAAGGTTGCCAGATATTTGAAAATTTATAATTATTTAAAGGTCAATAAAATATTTAAGTTTCTTCATCAAAACTAAAAGCGTCTAAAGATATTTAAAAATATTTTGGGTTAAATAACACAAACGGCAATAACGCAAAATTTCCTTTATTTCACTCTTAAATGGGAAATAATACCAATTTGCTTTATTGCCAACAAGGTAAGGTTAGGTTAGGTTAAACGGGCAGCTCTGAAAAAAGAGTTCACTCGGAGGCCGCAGAGGCCTATTGTGATGCCCATGGGGGTTACCCCAAGCCTATCCCTACATGTCTTCGAACCATTTTGATTTTCTGGCGAATCCTAGCAGTCCTTCGAGAGGAGCTTTCCCCAAGATATCCAGATTCGCGAAGAAGTGGTGCCCAAGAAACTTGAGGCGTTTTCATCGAAGTGCTGGACACTCAAAAACGAAGTGCTGGACGGATTCTAACTCCTCCTCACCCCTGCAGCTTCTACAGAAATCATTATGCGGGGCTCCGAACCTGGCGGCCATGTGGCCAATGGTCCAGTGTCCCGTTAGTATTCCTGTGAGAAGCCTGACGTTTGACTTTGAAAGCCTTAATAGGCTCCTTGTTCTTCGTTCATCG